CTTCTTGTTATGCCCGTCTTGCTTCTTTTTTGAGACGTCATGCAACTCTATCCGCAATGTGTTGTCGAGTGTAGTCAATGTTTTCCAGCAAATTGAGTGCAGTTTGGCCCAGCTTTAATCCTAAGTACTTCAGAATTTTCGCTCGTGTGATACTGCCATTATTAAATGCAAGAACAATATTCAGTATTGGAATTTTTAAGACTCTGAACGTAAACAAAGACAGCAAAGACTCTGCACCTCAATTCTTGTTCACTCAACAGTTACACCAGGCCGTTCTCACGTGCTATTAAGTCTAATTGCATCACAAATAAGTCATGTCTATTCGAGCATACCCGTTGTCACCATGCACGTGATTTACCTCGAAGGATGCTGAAAAGCTGAGAGATTCAACAATGAAGAGCTTGCTGGTTCAGCGCCTCAGTACGTCTTTTGCATTCATTCACATTAACAAGAGAACTGTATGGATTGCCTTAAAATTTACACTTGATGAAGACCCTCGTCACCCCAGAATGTAAGCTTATCAACAAGCATGACAAACAAAAGGTGTAATGAAGCTAAGAGCTGAAAGTGTTCGAACTTATGTACGCTTCGAAAACAAAGTGTGAATACAAAGGCACACAGTGTCTTCCGACTGCCTTATAAGCTACCTGACAGTTTTCTTTAACAGCTGACTTTAGACAAGCATTGTGACTTTTGTACATGGAAGTTCTTTTGTTTTTTTTTAAGCACAGAGAGCATACGAGAGGCTCACACTAGGAGTGCATTTTCACTCACTGCTCATTTTGGAAAAACTAGTTTTGAGCCTAAATTTTGCCCTATCCTGTGTCCTTAAAGGGGTCCCAGTTTCGATGATATTGTACAAAGTTATTGAGCTGGTAGAGCAATTCATAAAGGGCCAGTAATCAAGGTAGACTTTGTTTTTACACCCCACAGAAAAGCTTGCCAAATTATACAGTAGACCGCAGCGGATGCAATCGTTGCATGTACTAGTTGTAGATCACAGCACTCCGTCATTTAGGACAGCGTCGCTATGGCGTCTGTCGTTTTTCGTGGAGGCTGCGACAATGTTGTATTATAAAAAGAAAACACAAAAATTACAATCACAACTGTCACCAGATAATATATCAATTACACGCGTAAAACGCCCAGAAAACGCCAGTTTCCAGGACAGTTAAGGGGCCTTTCGATGGCTTCGCAAGCGCCTGCATTAGAGAGCAGGGATGCATCGTCCAGCCTTTTTAATGGAGGTCAGTGTTCTAACAACTGTAAATTGCTTATTGTAGCACACATTTGCAAAATTTTTGTGGCAGCGTGTTCACACAGCTAAAGTGCTCATATTTCTCTACATTATATTTTTTGGGCTTCAAGATTGTTTACTGGTCCTTTAAGCATCATTTACTGACTGATTGAAGCTCTCTGCATAAGCTGTCTAATTTATTACAACACTGGAAAGCTGCCAGTCGCTGCAAATCACAGCAGCTTAGCCAAACGCGTTTTCATACACCCATTTCCAGCACGATGATTTCGGGAAGCTTGACGTCATGCAGGCGGCTGATCTGATTGGATGTGCGATGCATGTCGCAGGCCATTTTTTTTTACATAACTGTGAACAAATGTTGTTTGTGATCTTTTAAACTTTTTACAACTACTTCTGGTTAAAAATTTGTCACAACCAAAGCAAATACAATCACAATTTACACTAGACTTCAGGACTTCTGATGCACAATGAATGTCGTCAACGTGCCTGCACATTTTTTAGAGCTCTTGGGTGTAATATGGTGGCACCATCTGGTAACCAGTCTAGAAATGCTCCTTTCTGTGCCCAATAAATTGCACAACTAGCCATTGTATCTTTCGTAAAATTGTTCAATATAAACACAAAACAATATGGACTCGTTCTTAATTGTGCAAAGGGTTTTTTTAGAATAGGTATGGTGAGTATTGTGAGCATTGTATAAAGTTAATTTTAGTACATCTTCAGGTAATATGATGACAACAATGACAGTGTTACAAGATGTCAGCATTTATGTCGTTAGTGGTCTCGCAGCCAACCTTTTTCTAGTATATTAACTCTATGCGATCAGTCAAGCTGGCGGCCCAGCGTTTCACCCACCGATATCTACTGCACTGGCTTTGACGCCACATCACTCAAATGTTCGCTCATGTCACTTTATGACACATAGCCCCTTGAAGGCGGAGCTTAGCCCCGAGCGCTCTAAGGAAAAGTTGAGGAAGAGAGACAGTGGAGGAAGAAAGGAGCTATTCATTATTTATAGCTTGCTTAATAAAGGTGTTTTGACTGAAGCATGCTGCTAATGACTTACTCCAGTTATGGTCTTAGCAAAAACGAGATGTCAAAAAACCATTTTAGAGACCGTTTAATACATGCAGTATGTGACTGTATTGGTACTTATCGGAGAACATTCTTTTGTGTCATGCCGGAACGAGACAGTTTTTGTGCTGTGTGCATGCAGACTCGGACAAACTAGCTTCGTGTACGAGTTTCATAGCTGCATCGTGGCTACTTGGTTATGCCTGCACTGCTGTTGACACCGTTCCTTTGTTACATTACGATAACAATTATTTGATTTGTGGGGTTTAACGTCCCAAAACCACCATATGATTATGAGAGACGCCGCAGTGGAGGGCTCCGGAAATTTCGACCACCTGGGGTTCTTTAACGTGCACCCAAATCTGAGTACACGGGCCTACTACATTTCCGCCTCCATCGGAAATGCAGCCGCCGCAGCCGGGATTTGAACCCGCGACCTGCGGGTCAGCAGCCGAGTACCTTAGCCACTAGACCACTGCGGCGAGGCGATAACAATTATTTGACAGACAGCTAATGTGCATGGTATCTTAGCGAATAGACCAATTGTGTTGAAACATGTTGTATTATGTTTTCGATTGTGGAGTTTCACAAGGTGGCATTTGGTAGGATCCTTTGCACATGTAGTGCTTCACTATGCATATTTTTCAAGCATATCGTGTGCTATAACTGCCGAATTCAAAAGGACGGCAAAGATATGCTTGCCCTCCCTTCCTCATTTCTTTAATGTATTATCAGGTTCTCCCAAAACTGCCTTTCAGAAATATCCCTTTTCACCCCTGTGTGTGGTACTTTTTTGTACGAAACTGAAAAAAAATGCTGTTTCGGGAAATGAGTTGCTTTCAGCCAAAAGTGTACAACCTTTGGTTACGCACCGAGCTGCTTTTGCAGCTGTTCTGTCAGTTATGTAAAACAGTCTTGCTGCAGTAGGTTGAAATTTTAAGGCGCCAATAGGCCCTGAAAGCGACAACATGAACGTGAATATTGGGGTGTCGTGTTATTTACTACCACATGTTGGTATGATATCGCATAAAATGCCCGCTGAATAACACCTATTCATGCATATAGTTTTTATATTTTAATCCTACAGCAATTATATGTCACCCACGACAATGGCTTTAGCAGTGGAATATATTTATTTTTTTAAAATATTAACAATAATGCATTTTATTTACAGTGAGATGCACAATACATCAGGATGCAGGCTTCACCTTATGACTTTCGCTTTGCTGTGGGTCAATAGCGCTTTCTTAACGTTAACGCTGCGCCTAGTCATGTCACAGGCTAAAGCCTTTTCTCAGCCATCCTACACCACACGAAGGATATTCACATAGGTAACAATGCTTTATTAGCTACAGTGAAAACAGAGATGAAATTTTTAATGTAGTGCAGCTGCATTCTCAACTGCAACAGGCCTACATGTGACTCGGTGGTAAACTTTTACCTTCATTCTTGTTTTGGGGCAGTTCTTTACACGTACTAACTGTCAACGTGGGACTCGGCAATGCTGATAGTATACAGGTCCCTACATAATCTTCTCATATTTTTATGCCCCAATTGATCGCTATTAAGGCAGGTACAAGTAAGAAGTTATAGCAGTGACAGCAGTACGATTTGGACACGAGCCTCCAACATCGCTCCGAATCGGTAGCTTCGCCAAACCTCCGACAAATGGCGGAAGTTTTGCATCGGGTCTACTAGCCTAACACCGTGCTACTGGCAACGCTACACGACAATGGGCGAGCATGAAATTTGTGTTATGGTGAACATTCTTTCCTCTTATTTTGAATTTTCTAAGCTAAACAATTTTAGACTGTGTTCTTTTATCACTGTTACTTTAGCAATACTATTCATCTGTCTCTCACCTAGTGCATGGAGCCCTCAAATAAAAAATGATGGCTTGAAAAGTATTGAAAAATGCAGATACCCTAGGCTATTTATCAGGCATTTGATTTTCTGTTGGAGTTATCATGCATAGTTTCTTTTGAGAGCTTCACATTATCATGGCTCAAAGGCATATAATAGATATTTGCCAAAAATGACACAGCAAGGTTGTTTTGAAAGCTGCATATTTTAGAGATTACAGTCAGGTGGGGTGCTGCAGAGCTGACAGTTTATAAAATGTGCTGATGTAGAATTGAACGGTACCATGTGCGGAATTAAAGGAAATCATGGCAATAAAGGGGGGTGGGGAGTTGGAGAAATAAATTGGATTAGCACAGCTTATGCAAGAATGTCATGGTTCATCTTCTATGACACTCAAGAGAATAAGTATAAGAAATTCTGCTACCCCAAATTGAGCTGAAATTGAATGGACAGAGCTGTGTACAAAATATTTGTTCTTATTATGCCTTCAGGAAATAATTTGTACACAATTTTATTGAAGTAGGGAGAATTCCACGAGTGCCCAATAAATAGATACTTAATTGCTCTCTAAGGTGACTCATTAATAGATGCACTAAAACAATTACATTGATATGAAATTAGTACCTTGGAATAAAGTTTAATAATTTTGATATACTTATGATAGGGCATCATAACTTTTATCTAAACAGTGTTTACAGAAATGAACTTGCACAAAAATATTTAGTTTGTCTTTTGTATGCTTCACTGGATATCATTGCTGCTGTGTAACTGAAAGGTGCCATATTTTACATTTTATTACCTGCAGACTTCCAGAAGGCATACAGCTTGCGGCACAAACTGGACACCCAGTTGAATGAGAACACTGTTGTCAAAGAGGTAATGACATTGCTCAATTCTGTAAGCAGTCATTCTTTTTATCAGGCTCATTTAGATTGTTTACTTAGTTTACCACTTGTGTGTGGGTACGAAGCAGTGTAACTCCGCTCATTTGCTTCAAGTGTGTTTGTACTGCTGTTTATTTCTTCACTTGGGGGCAGTGAAGACATTTTGTGTTATCTTGTGCTGTTACAATGAAACTTCTGATTGAAATATCACCATAGGTTATCACATTAAAATGCACTTTTTCTGCCCGAAAAACTGAAGCAAATTTGAAGGCTATTATGTGGGGTAAATGTTACAAAAACTTTTCTGTGACAAGAAGAACAAGTAATACGTACTGCAAAAATCAAACAAATATCTTACCTTTTACAGTAAGTATGCTCATACATTATTTACAAACAGCTTTACACACCTCAGATGCATTTTTTTATAGCCCTTGCCTTCATGCTCTGTATCACATCCAAATCGATAGCATCGTCCTGTGCGTGCGTTCAATGTGCAGTGGACACACTGCCGACAAAAGCTGCTTAAGCAGAGATAGAATAAGTCAGACTAGCGGGTGCAGTGTGCGACAAGAATTGCATATTTTAATCGGCCTAGCGTTGATTGATATGTGGGGTTTACCGTCCCAAAACTACTATATGATTATGATAGACGCCGTAGTGGAGGGCTCCAGAAATTTCGACCACCTGGGTTTCTTTAACGTGCACCCAAATCTGAGCACACGGGCCTACAGCATTTCCGCCTCCATCGGAAATGCAGCCGCCGCAGCAGGGATTTGATCCCGCGGCCTGCGGGTCAGCAGCAGAGTACTTTAGCCACTAGACCACCGCGGCGGGGCAATCTGCCTAGCGTAAGTGCCCGCTGTCTTGTCCTGTAACTTGTATTTTTAGAGATCAGCAGATATCTTATGGCCTTGTGCTTGTTGCGCTTTTCTTCACAAAGCTTGCTGAACCCTAGGTGGGTGGAATTCAAAGGAATGTCAGTGTCTGACTTTCTGTAGTAGTGAACGCTTACAAAATTCAAAGCCAAATAATAAAGCATAAGCAATTAAAAAAAACTTTGTTGCTGTGGATACTTGTCAGAAAAGACGCATTAAGGTGAGACAACATGCTCTGTTGTCATTCAGGCTTTACCTCTGAAACCAGAATTCCAAGTAAACTGTTCACTGTTCTTGTGCAAAAGGAAGGAAGCACAGAAAGGGTGAGCCTGTGCAGATATGTTTGTACGGTCACTTGGGTAACTAAAACATATGGTTTGTGGCAAGTAGGAAAACTTTCAAGGTCAACTATCATGACAAAAAAAAAGTCACAGCTTTGCCGCGAAGGCGAAGCAATGAACGCGATAGCAATAAATTGGAAGGTCATGCAAAGAATGGCAAGCAGATTAAAACGTGCCCCGCATTTCTCACGCACAAATGATGCACGAAACGTAATCACAGGTGCCTACAAATCTTGATTTTATGCTTATATTCTTGGTATGTAATAATGAAACAAAGTGCGTCGACTCGTTGAAACATTGAAATATATATTTGTAGTTGGTCACACATTAGCTTCGTCTTCCATTCTCCTGTTTTTTGTTTTTTGTTCTAATATTAGAGGTTTTCAGCAAGCTACGGAAACACGTTACAGAAAAAATACGACGTGGTTCCTTTTCGTATACGAGTGCCGGTAATGTTCACGTACGCGCACTTGTCAGCTGGTTCTGTATTGCCGCCTTTCCGTAACATGTTTACATAGCTTTCTACAAACCTCTATTTACAGATATGAAACTATTTTTGTGCTTTTGTCGCAATCAAGCTAGTTAGGAATGCAATTTCTTCGTCTCATTGCGCTCATTCGTTAACTCTGTGAGGAAGCCAGCTTATAATTTTATAGTCTTGAACAGAATCGAGCTGGATAGCGATCGAGAGTCGCCTTGCGACACCCATGTTACGCGCGCCTCTCGTATTACGCTCATGTTACAATCGCGACTCATAACAGCTGATCTGAATCATAGTTCAACAACCATGTCGCGTCCAACATTCCTTTCGCTTAAGGTTTGAAAGCTGCATTAAATTCATCCGCTAGCTGCAACACTTTCCCCGCAGGGGCATCTGCGTAAGCAGGCGTTTGGTGTGTAGCGACACCACAGACCCGAGCTAATGGGAGAGTTTCGACTCCCTCCCACGCCTAGCCGTGCGTGGCTTTGCCAAGTCCGGAGAAAAAGGAATCCTGGGGGTTGAGCCGACGCCGGGTGATTGGACCTTTAAGGCCCCCCTGCAGAGGCAACACACCCCTTTGGCCCCGGCTTCACGTAGACGGTACCCCTGGGCTGACCCACCCAAGGGAAATCGGCAGTCGCCTCTTTCTGTCTCCTTCTCTCTCTCCATCTTCGTCTTTTCTACTACTTTTGGTCTTTCCTGTCCTCTCCTCACTTCTTTTTACTTCCACAATTCCCGGCGGCAAGGATTAACCTGGTGTAGATATCAAACCTTGGGTAGATATATTAGGTTGTAGCAGCCATGTACGGCTGGCGCTTGCGTCTCCTTCACGTCTCGCAGCGTCCCCTTGTTGGACTCGGTGGTGGGTGGCTGGCATGGCCGCCGAATAAGCTACCAAATTCATTGGAACTTCTAGCCCTCTCACAACCAATCGCCCCTCCAAGAGGTGGCGCACCGATGCAATTTTCGAATTTCTTCCAAACAAGAAAGATTACTTCCCGAAATGCCACATCATCCACTGTGAAAGTGCAGAAAAGAAATCTAGAAGCATTTCATCTTTCCTTGTGTCCAGATGCCTTATAGAAACACTAGGCGCAGGCTACAAAGCCACAAAGACCGCCAGTGGTGACCTGTCACTCTAAATAAAAGACAACGCACAGTACCAGAGACTGCATAACCTTAAATCATTTGGGGATTAGCCTATCACAATCGCACTGCATCGAACCATTACACCGACCATGAAGGGCGCTGAACTCCTGCAGGCGGAGCAAACTGCGTCCGGAAAACAGAGGTGCAACTCTGGTACCTAAAGGTAGCATATACAGTAACTCTATGCTGAAATAACACGCGCTCTAGCTAGTGATTGCCACCGCACCGTTGCTACTCCAGCGATACCCCCCCACCATTCTCTCATGTCCATTCGATACGGGTGCTTTCCTTTGTGATTGAGGATTCGACGGCAGTTCTAACACGCGGAGGGGATGTTATTGTATGTGCCCTCCAGGCGACAGAGCTGGGCTGGCTCATTTGATCTCTGCTTTAGCAGCGCTCGCCTGCTTTCACCCACTTGTAAAAATTACGATGCACGAGGGCATGTTACATGTTATGATTTTGGACTTGTTATGGAACATGGCAGCGACGGCAAAAAGCGGCCGACAGTGTCCACAGCAATAATGCAGTTTTTACTGCTAAATAGGTGTTTTGGGTTAGCTCTGCCTTCAGTTCCTTCTTTTTGTTTAATTTGTGCATTTATTTTTCAAATTTTCGAACTGGACCTCTATATAACGAAATCCTCTTTATAACAGATTTTTCCAGGAAAATTTCGATATATCTAGGTTTAGGCGTAATTATTAAAAGACATAAAAACTAATGCATGCAAGCCCAAGCTATTTGTCACATAAATTTCCAGATGCAAGCAAAATGAGTTTCCCTTAGGTCGAAATTTTCTAGTTCTAGACAAAAGAGTTTGCAGGGTTCCCCCCAGGTGGGGCAGAGGCTCATTGCAGCGCCTTCGCTCCCTATTATGTCAATGTATGGGGCACACTTTTAGAGGGTATATCATCATCAGCCTGACTATGCCTTCTGCACGGCAAAGGCCTCTCTCACGTTCTGCCAATCAACTTCGTCTTGTGCTTTCTGCTGCCACGTTATACCTGAAAACTTTTTAATCTCATCGGCTCGCCTAACCTTGTTTTCTCAGAAGTGTGGTGGTTAGCGCTAGTTGGTATGACATGACAACAGTTATAGCGCGAGAAGAGAACAACGACAAAGGGACAAGGAGATGAGCGCTCGTCTCCTTCTTGTCCCTTTGTCGGCGTTCTGTTTTTGCGTTATAGCTATCGTTTTGTCTCCTCCTTGCGCATTTGTCTTCTCTGGGAATCCAGTCAGTTACTCTTAATGACTTGCTACGTGCTACGTGCCCATGTGCATTTAAAGGTGGTAGTGTCGGCCAGCGTCGCTAGTATCCATTACGGCGAGTGTGGAACACACTTTTTTTTTGCCTGTTGGCCTCGGGTAGCATGTGATGTTACTATGATCTGGCAGCTGACTAATAATCCTTCGCATACCACCTGAAGGCGTCAAGTCTGCCAGAAAGAGACCTTCGCTAGGAATGAAGGAAAGAAGTGTAAATTTGAGGGCTCGTCTTCCATGTTAGACACAATATTAATGAGAACTAATTGACAATGATGCCAGGGAAAGTGTAGGGGGTCTTATTAGTAGCAATTCTAATGTAAATGTGAAGAAAGAAAAGTGGAGAAGAATATAACTTGCTGCTGGCAGGGACTGAACCTGCAACCTTCAAATAACACATCCATTGCTCTACCAACCGAGCCAGGTAGGTGGTCATCCCTCTGTCCACATTATAGGGTATGGTATACATGTACTGGTTATCTTTTCATCTATTTTATTTCTTGATATTTACATTACAATTACTAACGATAATATCACCTATACTTTCCTTGGCATCATTGTCATTAGTTACCATTAATATTGTACCTAACAAAGAAAACGATTCCTTAAATTTGCACTTCTTTCCTTCTGTGAGGCTACATGAAGAGTTGATCACTTAAAGCTACCATGCCTTTGGGTAACAGTAGTGTGTCGTTTTCATTTGTCTATAAATGTAGAAATTGAGAAATTTTCCCTAACTGAGTGCATAGACTTGGCACGTCTGACATTTTCTTTTTATATGCAGGAGCTGGATCTTTTAGGACCTGATGCAGGGGTGTACAAGTTGATTGGCCCTGTACTTGTCAAGCAGGATCATGAAGAGGCCAGAGAAAATGTTGACAAAAGGCTGGAATACATCAGCACAGAATTGTTAGTATAACAGTATGGCTTTGTTTACTATTTGTAGGCAAGTGTGAAAAAATTTTACGTGATGAAAAAACAAAAGTACTAAGTAATAGGTTTTACACGTATTTGCACGAATATAGTTTTGTGCAGTCAAATCTTACTATAATGAACACCAGTACAATTAAATTTCAACCACAACTAAATTTTTTTTATCTCCGCCAGCTGCCCATAGAAAATGATGCAAAGAATTGTCTCATCTCGACAAATTATTTTTTGTCCACCACTTCAACAAAGCTTGCATGACCATTGCATAAGGAAAAGGCACTTCCTTAGTATTGCCACAAAATACCTTTGGCAACCTGATTTTGCGTTGGTTCAAGACTTCCAGAGCAGTGCAGCTGCATGACTAGACCTGTATCTTCATGTCATGTTCACTAGCATAGAAGCTTGAGCTAGTTGGTCTGGGTTCATGATAGCAAATTTCACAGTGTGAGAAGAGTGAAAAATTCCAGCAGAGTAGAAAACTATTCTGCTCTGTCCTAACTTTTTTCTATGTTCTCACGTTATGAAATTCACCATAATGATCTTCATCTGAGGCATGTATGTTTTCTGCTACAACCTACACATCGCGATAAATTTTTTGCCATTGAGATGCTCAGAGAGAGTTCAATGCAGGCGGCACGTGTGATGTAGGTGCGAACCATCGTAGAATTTTTTTTTTTCAGGAACTCCCGCCATGTTTCTGACATAGGACCTATAATGAAGCTACTGTTCAGCGTTGCTAGTCCCTCTATTGTGGACGACAGGCATGGCATTTTGAAACCACAGCATGGCCTGTGTGCACCTAGTCCAAGTGAAGCCATATTATTATGCAACCGCTGTGAACGAAATCTGTCATGTCGACGGGATCGTGAAGCAACCACGAAATTATGATTGTATGCATGCATCTACACAGAGCACAGAAGGGAAGCTTTGCTTTCTGCAACCACTGCATACAAAGCCATGGCATACCTGCCAACTCTCGCACATTACCTGGGAGACTCGAGCATTTTGACCATTTCTTACGTTTGTACAGGTTGTCTTGAAAATCTCCCGCAAGTCAAAATTTCTGTGCCTGATCTGGCTGCATTGACAAAAATGCAAGACAAAAATGGTGGTTTTGGGACGTTGAACCCCACATATCTATCAAAAATGCAGGTCAGTCTGATCCAGACTTTTTCTGAACCTATCTCATTTTGCAAACACACTGCAGTGATGCAAAACTGCCTGATACAAATTTGCAAAATTCTTCAGCGAAATTCCACTGTGTTCATTGGACCGAAATTCGTAGGCTTTGAACACTTTTCCTCATCGCGGCGGGTGATGTGAACTTTAATACCGAAGCCACCGAACGAAGCCCGAGAGCAGTGTGCTCAAAGCTTCAGAAGTACCACGCGCGCGGACAGTGGATGCACTATCTTTTATGCGTGGGGTTGTCGTTTGCCACAACCGCTGTGGATGAAACTGCAGTCGCTCTTGACTCAATCATGTATGGCGATGACGTAACCGACAGCACTCGGAAAGTCTGCTCACGTCCAACACTCAGCCAATCAAAGAGGCGCCATTTTCCGCAAAAGCTGCGGACAAAGTTGCAGCAAATGCAATCTAACGCAATCGAAAATGGCGGCAAATGCAATCTGCAGCCAGCGCACGCGGAAACAGCTGTCGCGGCGACGCGATAGCGATCTACGAGCTCCGAAGGCACGTGGCTAATGCAGTGGTAGGTTAAAAGCAATAAAGACGTAAAAATGGCTTTAAGCGTTATGGCGTTCCTGTCCAAAGAGTCTAGTAATGTAGCGAAGCTTTGGCCCATGCCTTCGCGGCAGCTAGCTGCTCCGGCCCCTCTGTTCACGTGTGTCCCTGGAAGACATATGCCAGCTTTTTGACAGAAATGATTTTGCTAGTTGTTTTCACTACGTGGAATTTCGGGAGTATTTGCAGCCCCCCCCCCCCCCCCCCTTTTTTTTTTGAGACTCGCACCTTCTACTGTAGTTAAGAAGCCCTACCATCGTGTATTCGGCCACTCTAAGCCATTATAATATAAGACCTCAACACCGATGTTTACGATTGGGGGTTGTTACACGCATGCACCCTGTTTTTCTAGATTTTTTTTTTTGTGTGTGTGTGTAAGAAAAAAGGTACGGGTAAATCAGCACAACCTTTCTCCATAGCAGAAATCTCCCAGATTCAGGATCCTTCAACTTTGCAGGTATGCGATGGTCATTACACTAGTGAATACAAACTCCAGAAATCATGAGTCGAACAAGCACACATAGAGTTGGAACTGAGTCCACCATTTTCCAGAACTGCTGTAGACAAACCCATGCTTGCAATCGACACGACTATTCTGGCAACTAAGAAAATCCGAAATTGCATGTAAATCCAGTGCACACCAAGGTAAAATAATACTGCATGCCATAGCTTCAGCGTACAATACTGTGGTTGATAGAATTTCAGATAACGACGCAGTTCTGAAGACACGTGTGTGGCCAGCGCACACTGATTAAAAATAGAACTACCATTCAGTTTCAATTCGCACAGCTGCTGCACACGAAACTGCAGTTGCTATCGTCGGGATGATCAGATGCAACTGTACAGCACCAAAGGTGTACAGCTAACACAGTGTAAGATAAAAGGAAGTAAAGTAGGGAGAAGGCTTGAAACATTCCGGCTTTACTGTTGTTCGGTTATGAACTTGTGACTATGCTGGTATGTACTTCAGCACTGCGATTTGGGTCGACCTTTAGCAAAGCTTTCACTTTTGTGTTTTGCTTGGCACTTTGTGCTTGGCATGCTTCAAGGGTCACCTGGATAATTTGGTGTTCGACCAAATACTTTGGGAAAAAAGTTGGCAAGGGTTCAATAAAAAAAAACTGCATGGTTTCCAGGACCTGAGGGTGCCATAATTATCAGATTTTGCAACTTTTGTGATGTATACATATTTCACTGCAGTGAAGTTCCATGACAGCAAACCTTTTTGCGTCCCCTGGAAATTTGATGTAGCAGTATTTGACTATGCGACACCTAGTTTTAGGCAACTGTAGCTAATTTTCATTTTTGTGTATGCTTTGGGTAGCTGCCATAAACTTGTCAACACTATTACTCAGACTAAGACTATTTTCTGCTATTATGTCTAACTCTGACAAGCCTAAACACATATAAGATGTCAAATGGTAGCTTTGAACATGGCAGTTTGCCTAATTTTAAGGCACCCTGAACTACCACCTAATAGTTTTGATGCATTTCTCATAAAAACTCACACTGTACAAAATGCTGCGGCTATCATTTTTTTTTGGGAATGCGGAAGTGCACTGCACACTACTGAAATGCCAAAAAAATTTTTAAAAACCATTCGGTGTTCCTTTCGTGGCCTTTTAAGTGGCCTCGTTACTCATTGTGTTAACTGTTGCTCCTGGTGATACCCATAAAAGTTAATGCTGCTAGTTGGTCAGCTATGAAGATCAAGTTGGCCTGCTTGTTGTGCCTCCATGCAGGTGATTGCATGCCTGCTCTTTCTGGTTTTTGATTGATTATCATACACACAAGGATTGCACGTTTTAAATTATGATGCTCGGCTGCTGACCAGAAGGTCGCTGGTTTGATCCTGGTCCTGATGGTGGCATCTCGGTGGAGGGGAAATGGTAGAGGCCTGTGTACTGTGCGGTGTCAGTGCTTGTTAAAGAACACCAGAGAGTCAAAATTTCTGGACCCTCCGCTATGGCATCTCTCATAATCATATCCTTGGTTTGAAACATAAAACCCCAGATAACATTATTAAACAAGAAGCTTGTGCATTCTGTCTCATTCCTCCTAATTTAGCTATGGGATATGATGCAGGTAAATAGAATAGAGTGTACAAAACACAATGTTATTGATCACACAATAAAAATGAAGGAGCTACGGCTGGTTTTAACATGGTAATACTAAAGAGGTCATTTTGCAAAAAGTCTAGTGCCGACGTTGGTAACGACGCAGTTGAGGCATACACTGAGAACCGAAGCCAGGCCAGCAGTTGTGAAGGTTGTGCCCGCTAGGACCAATTACACTGTTGTGTAATTGAAGGTGAAGCGTAAGCGTTTTCCAAGTTTCTTGACATACTGAAACTTGCAGTGTACCTTTCAGTGTACACTGCTTTTTAGGATATCTGTAATTTATGCATCTGTCTCTTCTGGCAGGCATTATTTGCCGGTCATGAAAGCGCTATCTTATACTAGTACCTGCGATTGTGGTGACACAATAGAGTAGAAAAGCCAGATGAATAGCTCACATTGTGATGAGTGCTCATCAGGTAGCCCGTCCATTGGGCTGCAAGTAGCCCAATGACAGAACTGCCATGTGCATTCGTCACATATTGTGAGGCAGACTATCTAAGACTCCACTGGCCGGTGGGCCACAACAGCATGCTTGGAGCACGGATCAGATTGGCCAGTCAGTAGCAGCGGATAGCCCTAAAGCACGGAATTGTCAGCGAAAAAGTCTGGTGTATCTGAAACTAAAAAAAGAGTGTGAACATGACACTTTCTGTGATGTGGTGTACTATCAGAGTCAAATGAAACCCGAACAGCGTCAAGCCTTCGGGATGGTATAGTGCGTGCCGTCCAGCTATCGCCGCGGACAGGCACACGTATATGCGCACAGCTGCTGAACAGTATGTGTGCGCCTGTCAACGTTGGTAACTGGACGGTGGGTTTACACTGTCGATCGACAAGGCTGGCTGCTGTTCGGGTTTCATTTGATGCTGAAAGTAAACATTTAGAAAAGTACATGCTGTGCAGGATATACCAGCCAACGTGAGAAAAGTTATGGAAAGAGACAAACAAGTGGCACCCACATTGTCGATTGTTACGCACTTGTAATTTCTCCTTATAAACTCATTGTCAAAAATAATTGTGGTTGCATATTTATTGTATGCTCATACTCAACTGCTGCCATATAAGAAGTCAACTTCGGAGTGGGTCAGAGGCCTTATCAAGATAGTGTTACTATAGTCTGAAAAACCTGATCACAATAGGCCACCAGGGATGTGGTTAGCACTGTGATATGTGTGAAGCCCTGCTTTTGTGTAAGTCAGTGGAGTGGTGGCTTTACATTTGTTATCGGGCTGAAATTGTTTCCACTTCCGAGTCTTTTTGTATACATTATGCTTAAATCATCCCTGTATTTTTTGGATTTAGGTCGATTTTTGAAAGGCTAGAAGAACATAAACTTTATTGATGAATCAAGATTAAAGTCCCGCTTCCTTGGCACGCTAGGCGGCACAGAATTGTGCTGCAGGTTCGAGCTGAGCAGTGCTGTCTTCTAGCACGAGTGGAGGCTGGTGGTGGAAGAGGCAGATGAACCGGCACTGTTCGAATTGTCTATTAGGCCCTGACACTCCCACAGCATGTGACTAAGAGTGGAAACCTCACCTCATGATGTGCATATGTTTGTAGTGTATATGTCTGGATACATAGCGTGCTTGAAAGGCTAGATTTTTTTTTTTGTCTAGAATGTACCAAAACCTGCTGGCTGTGCCAAATTATGTAACATGTCCTATTTTGAAAAGCGGTGACTGTGATTTAGTGGAATATGTAATTTCGCTGGCTGCCATAAGTTGCTCTCGGTATAGTTTTGAACTTTATCCTTTTTTCCTGAAATGTGGCTGGTTTTGGTAGCCCTATGTTTTTTTTTTTCAAAGAGTATACATTGAAACATGTGTTATGATAAGCATTGCGTGTGAGAATTAGGCAAAATTTCAAGGAACCACCTTGTAAAGTGCGCAGAATATCAGTAACTAAAATCGCTGGCAAGTAATTAGAAAAAGAGATATGGAATACTCATGCTATGTGCCTCTATCTTGTTTCCAGCTCTCGTAAGTTAGCATTTAAATAAGGGTCAATTTTCTTGTATTGATTGTTAGAACTGATGCCCATGTGGGATAACCATCGCTCTGCCAATCGAAATGAGCACGCATCATTTATAATGGCTGAAGCATTTGTTTAGACTTGGACAAGTTTTTGGTTCATTTATTATATGCATAAGCTTTTAGTTCTCTTGCTATATGTGATATGCAAAGATAGAAATAACCATTATCTTTCGTGTGCTCGAAAATGCCTCAACTTCTGCTCATAAAAGGTGGAGTAATCATGCACATTTTGAAGTTGTGCAAGAGCTTCCATTGGCTATGCCTTTTCTAGTAGAAAATTAGGCTGTTTGTGATGTCTGTATAAAGACATTAAATGCGTACCGGCACGAAATTTCGTGGCCGAGATAGCCTGCGATTGATTCCTGTGAACATGTGTATATATTATTTGCAAAATATCATATAGCTTGGAAGGTATCTTATATGAATTTTGAAGTTTGATTGTTGAAGGTATTGACACCCTTAAAAATGACCCTACGGTGACCCCCCCCCCCCCCTACCCTCATGTTACTACGCTGCAGTCACTATGATAAGTTATGAAGACACCATAGCCGCCATTTTTATTTTGCCCAGTTTGCTACTTCTCGACGAGTGCTCGCGAGTCTGTGGCCACAGCAGACGCATTAATTGAAAGTTTAGCATTTTGCAGCATTGCTGCTCAGTTTCTTGTTTGAAAGGACTTTATGCAGACTGTGCGGAAGTGTATCACAGTTCTGTGTGTTGACGCGGTGAAGTGGTGCACTTGCTAGGTGATTATAGTTGCACCCAGCGGCTTCTTATTTTTGGAGCTCTCTCAAACCGAAACTCCGTCTGGTTGGTATTGAAAAGCCTGTTATTAATTATCGGTCATGCACTGGAGCTAACTACGTGCCGTGTTATGAATAACAGGCTCTCAGCAACACATTGCAGTAAAAGAAAAAGAATGCGAGGTCAAAATTTTTGTCAGTACCCCTTTAAGAAGTGCTAGCTGTACTTTTTGTAAGACATTGGTCTGAAATTTTCTGTTAATGTCTACGTGGAAATCATTCACTGCTGAAAATAAATTGAGTTTTAAGTTACTGAGTTCAAAACCAGTGTGGCTGCTAAAGTGGGAAAAAAAAGAGGGGGAGGGGCAGTCTGGTTAAAATTGCTGACCTAGGTACTGGTATTGCTTACTGTGAAGCAAGTCTGTTGGCATATTTCGCATTGTTCTGCTTAAAAAGAGCAACAAGCATTGGCGGCCAGTTTTGGCAGTACCTCGTGTTTCTCTATATCCCTCGATGTGAAAAAGAGTATTGTCAAATCTCTATAAAATAAGGTGCAGTTTTCAAATCACAGTGGACAGTGTTAATTGCATATTTAAAAAAAATGACATTTAGCACTATGTTGTTTGAAAGTTGGAATAAGTTATCTATTTCTATTGCTCTAAAAAAAGGGGTAGACTGCTACGATTCAGCTTTGTGAATATGAACAGAAGTGCTTTTGTGGTGTCGAATGCCATTCTTGTGCATATCCATTTCTATAAGCAAGACATGAGCAAGAGGAACACTCAGAAGCATATACTATATACAGGCCTTTTTTTTTTCATTAGCCATTTTTGTGTGATAGTCAAAAATATTGCACAACTTGGTCCATGTGTATGAATTATCTGATGTTAACTAGCTTCATAACTTCCCATGGACTATTCCTCACACATTCAGTGCTTCAAATAGTTTTTCTGTGTATCTTTGGTGGCTCATTAAGCTTGGCATTTCACATAGATGCCTGTTGTACCAATATTTCACCTTTTGTAAGCAGCTAATACTTAATTGGCACAATCACTCCCAAAAGTGAATGCCGTTATTGAGCTATTCACAGTGATTTGTGATCATACACTTTTTTTCTTAGGTTCCTATTAGTCGATCGTATTCGAGCAAAAGAAAGCTATAACTCTGTTGATAACTTATTTTACCATGACATTTCACTGACAGATCATGTTAATGCCTATGGCAGCTGGGAGGGTTGTCTGCATGGTCTTTTAGGAGCCCAAGAAAACTGCGATTTCAAATGGATGTCATTAACTATAGACTTGATATTGTGCCAAAATATTTTGGAATCTATATGTCAAACCTTTATTAAAGCAGAAAAAATTACAACCAGCTAGCTTCAATTTCGTTTTGCGACCCCTTTCAAGTCTTGCAAATCAGTGTATTCATTGTTGAAAATTTTTCATGAGGCAGTCGGAAAGATATCGCACAGCCTGGTTCCATGCACATTTCGTGCTTAACCACTGTCAGTTTGATCTACAAATTAGCACCTGCAAGTTCTACACATGCACATTGTCAGCATTTCGTAGCGTGTGTAGCTGTTAATCAAAAAAGCTATACTCGGGGACAACTTGTTGTGGCAATGAAGGGAAAGCTATGGGGGCGGAGCTGCTGCACATGTACTCCTCAGCGAAGTAGTCCGGTTTGGCTCGTGTTTCAAATGACGGCAGTGTTGGAATAATGCCAATGCATAGAACTTAGTATGTCTGCTTACACAATTATTTGTAAGTGCAGTTCCTCATAAGCTTCTTTAGTGAGTGTCCAAACAGCTGGAGGGCAGCAACCGCTTTCCTAAAGGCGAATATGCCATTTAGACTGAAATGCACCTAAAATGTGCGACGTTTTCAGACGAACAGAAACGCAAGATGACACTTCATAAAGCAAAACAAATATTATTATCTCCTTCGTCAGTGCAGCATGTCTTTATAAATAGCATCCTGTAAAAAATAATGGTCATGATTTTCACACCAAAAACACAGACGCATGTGTGGGACTATGTTGTTCTGCAGACACACGCTTTGGTTCCGTAGAATTCCCTTCATTGCCACAGAAAGTTGTTCCCGAGTATAGTAACTCATTCGTAAGAGCATTGCTTTAACTTTTCCAAAAAGATATTGTGCTCTAGAAGGTAAAGAAATCACAAGCAGTGGCCAAAATGCATCTCCGAGCGCTAATGACTGCAGTGCATACAACAGACCATGCATGGTGTGATACCGTTTTCTTCCCTGCCTTTTCAAAGGCAGTGGCAAAGTAATATTCTGCTAACGATATACACTAAAGAAGTTTTATTTGTCTATAGAATTATTCATCAACTGCAGCAGCCTCTTGTCTGAAGAGTTTGCCTTACTTCCGCCGCACTGAAACTCCAGTGTTTTAATGCAGCTGATGGTTTATACACACACAGTGCGCGTCATTGTGCAATCTATCTTTATCGGGTATAGCAAAGATCACCGTTATCAATCGCATGGCACACTTTTAATGGGACATTTTTTTTTTTTTTGCCAAACGGGTGAAAATATTACTGCATCATAGTGCACTGAACCAGGTGTTTCTAGTGGCGATACAACCGCTAACAGTTTGCCCATATTTACTGTTAGAAGTGCCCCTTTGCCTTAGCCGTTCATTAAGCAGGGTTTAAAAGCGCATCACAGGGTGCCGCAGATTTTCTTTGAACATGCTCAGTAGCACACACTGGGGCTTCTAGAGCTTGGAGATACAGTTCAGCGACCTGATCACGTGCCCTGTTTATTTTCTATAGGGCCTGTGTGGGATTCGGTTCCATGTTTGTGTGTGTCCAATCAAAAATGTTATGGTCAAATATGGATATATCTCTAAATGGATATATCTCAATTACGAAAAGTACCCAAGATGTTGGGTACTCATGTTTTAACTTAGATTTTTTTTTAATCTAGGAAAAGGCACGATTCCTTGCTTGGAGAGTTAGAGAAGAAGCAAGATGCCCAGAGGGATATCATCCGCAAGCTGGAACAACAAATTCAGCAATCCAAGACAAAATAAGCTGGCAAGATGTGAATACCTCGAATATGTCTAAATCTTCCTGCTTATAAAACTTATTTAAAGTCGATTTCCATAGTCTCTTCATCTTTCTTTATGGTTTTTTGTTGCAATAACATTTTAGATGGAGGCGTAAATGCTTTACGCCCATGTGCTCAGATTTGGGCGCACGTTAAAGAACCCCAGGTGGTCGAAATTTCCGGAGCCCTCCACTATGGCATCTCTCATAATCATATGGTGGTTTTGGGACGTGAAACCCCACATATCAATCTTGTTCCAATAAATACGCAGATAGTGCAGGTGCTGAAACAGAAGCAAAAAGTGAGGTGCTATAACAGTGGCCTTTGCTTTGAGTGCTGTCTGGCATCCTCAGCCACCAAGATGTTTTCAGGTTTTGGTGCAAATGCACAAGTACATTTTCTTGTAGCGTAAAAGCATGTCTTGCGAAGTTGCATAAAAAAAAAAAAAAAAAACGTGTTATGCTGGACATTGACAGGCCTGCTGGGCTTGGTAGGTCTCTTCCTGGAGTGGAGGGAAGAGGTACGGATCAGAAGAGCAGTGGTGGGAAACCTACGTCAACTGGAAATTACTTCGTTACACTGTTCTAAAAGGATATTTTTTTTGTCTAATTAGCACCACTGCTACGCTACAAGGTGGTTTTGGAACCTAAAGTAATGTTGACAGAACACATATGAGCGGATATTATGTGGTGGTTGCCACCTTGTATACTTGCACTGCTGCATTTGCGTATACATTTGCACGTCTGTAAGAGCACTGAATTGGCCAATCAATTATTCCCACTTCTGTGTGATTGCGGCCTGCCTTTTCTGGTAACCACTGGAAAAGAAGGCAATGTGGTGACCTCCGAAAAGCACACCAGTATGACATTGCCGATAAAAATCTTTGCATATGGCATAACGCTGCTTTAAGCCTACTGCACGCTTTTGCTGGCTGGCGACTACCTGAGCGCACAGGGGCGCCAATAGCTATCTTACAGGACCATGTTCAGCACGCACCGCTTTGTAGTAACACAATTAGCTGGCAGAGTTCAGCATTGTGAATCGCCGGCAGCAAAACAGCAAATGCAGCGCTGTTATAACTACACTGCATGCTTTCATCAGGTAACAACCGAAACATGCCTCAGTCCGCTGCCAGAACCGCTAGAGCATCGCTTGCTGACAGCTTGCATCATCGCATTAATGTAATAATAGCTTTCTCGCCGCATCAGTGTGCGGTCTGAAACGAAGTACACGCAAGCGGTTTGACGCGTTGTGTACGCAAAGCAGGCGAAGCGCTGCACGCAACTAGTCAGTAGACCGTCGGCTCCCTGCGACCATACTGCTTTTCAAGAAAACTGTGTCTGTTTTCGTTAAGTAGCAGATTTTGGTACACATTTATCGCGGACAGCTGCTAATGTCTGCTCTTTCACTATGCCAGTCGCTGCATCGGCTGCATATCCCGGAGACTGCCTGCCATCAAATGGCCGAGCGGGAGCGCCAGTCATCTCTGAAATTTGGCAAAGAAAAAAAATTGGTACTTGATGGTCTATGCATACAACGTTTAGTATGCAGTTAATTGTCTTCTCTGTGCAAATGTACATATTAATAAGGTTTTACTGTGACAAGCTTTCAATGAGGGGGGGGGGGGGGGTCGCATAGGCGTGCCCTTCAAAATGGGGGAAGGTTCTGCCCAGCCTGCTGATCATGTCAAAGTATGGGGCTAGCTTTGGGCCCCCCTCACCCCCCTGCCTCCCCGCGCGCACGCCCATGTGAGTAAGTGTGCACGCGCACTACTAGAACTTTATGCTGCAGTTAGCTTGTTGGTGCAATATCCTTTACTGTTATGTCACTGCTTCTGTATATGATGTTCGTTTGTTGTGCTTACTTTGTGGGCTTGTTGCTTCTATATGCAGAATTATGTAAGCTGAGGGAATATTAAACTAAGTTAGAGCTAAATTTTCTTCTGTGTGTATCATGAAAAACTCATGCATGCTCCAAACACAGAGGTAGCTACTCCAAAAGCAGATTTTGCCTGCTCCAATGGCTGCTCCAAAATGCTGGAGGGCGTTCCAACCACTGGGAGAGGAACAGACACTATTTTTTTCAAACCATAAAAGGGAGCACACTATCTGCATCTGCAGAGGTATGGAGAGCTGACTAGCAGTTTTCGTTTGTGGCTCCCTCTCTGACCCTGAAAGAAGTCCGTTTTGCATTGGGCAGTCGCCCCACTCATTCAGGGCAAGATTTTTTTTTCATTCGCATGCTTACTCTAGCGTATGCTCTCAAAGACACAATGTTGTAATGATGCTGGAAAAACTTCATAGAACACTACTCAGAGCTTGTATGTTGGTTGCCGTCATTTCCCCTATGATGCAAGAACTTGTAACAGCAAAACAATATTTGTGAAATTATTTTTTCAGCCACTCTTTTTGCTTGCTAACTTCAACAAAAGTGTGGGCATAGATCGTCCACTGCTTTTATTCCTAATGATGTGCAGCCAAAACATGCACCTTTTACATGTGCATGGCTTCAATCGCACCCAGAAAAATCCTAGTGACACAATTTTTATGAAAGCACATTGTTAGTCTTTCCCTATTGATAATTGTGGACCTTGATATTCTAAACCAATGAATACAGGTTCAACACCAGTCTCTAGTTATTTGTCTTCACTTTTCAATCTTGAATTGCCATGTTGTGTAAACACAACATTAAAGTGAACTAACAAATGATGCCAAGAGAAGTATAGCGGATATTATTGCAAGTAATTGTGAAGAAAGAAAATATGTGGCACGGATTCATTTGTGCACATCGCATTATTGTAACAAATGGTTAGTTGGAGCAACCAAATTAATGCAAAGTGACGGAAACTCCACTAAAATTGGTTTTTGGGTGCTATAATAAAAAAAAATACCGCCCAAGCACTTCGTATAATGGTTAACCAGCGAAAGATGAAATGTGCAGCCCCGGTATTTAGCAGTTGGTTCAACCCGACACTGCACTGAAGCCTTTCACAATTATTAGTTATATGTTCGTGCTTCTTAATGATGTTTGACACATGTGTGGCTTAGGCTTACCACAGTGTTTATTTCACAAGCCGCACATTGTGCCTCGTATGATCAAAGTCATGAAGAAGTGTAATGAGTGGTTAAATGCATTTCGCAATGTGTTAATCACAGTGGTTGTTTTCAAATCACAGGCAGTCACGGACGTTGTAGCCGAAGCCAAAGTGCCGAAGCCGAACGCCCGTCGCATGCGGCCGTTTTCCCCGGCAAACCCACTCTCGTAGTCATCACATTGACGCCACTTGTTCGGCGTAGCCACTGCACCGTGTTGGCTATAGGCAGAAAGAAATAGGGCGCCTTTTTTTTTCTCTTGAAGAAGCACGCATTTATTGTTCGGCGCAACATTGTTGCAAGCGTTTGACATTGCGAGCCAACTCGGCAGCGTGATTTGTAGGATGCGCCTTTCTCCGGCGCTTGGATTCCTGTTCACGGTTTAGCACGGCTTGGAAGGCTGCTGGATCATTCGTTCACAGTTGCTGCTGGCACTCGGCCTCCCGGGCCTGTTTCTGTGCCACGACTGCACGATCGGCCTGGCGAATGCGAGCTCTCTCGCGTTTCTACTGTCGGCGCTCTTCTAGAGTTGTCTGTGGCATACCCATGTGGAAGGTTTCAGGTGCATGCTCGGCACCACAGCTGCAACGAAATGAACAAAGTCACTCACAATGCAGCCAATGGCTTGCGTGCTTGGGTACGACTCTGAGAATGACGTAACTGGTAAGACAGCCAATGGAGACCGCTTGTGACGCTGCTACCGGACAGTTTTTCGTTTTGTCTTAGCCGTTACAGCTTTGGCTGTAAAAAGTGGGCAAAAAGGCAACTTGCCACCGGCAGGATTCGAACCTGCGACATTCGAATAACGCGTCCGATGCTCTACCAAGGTAGCGGGCTCAGATCCTGCTGGTGCCAAGTTATGTTTTTGTTCACTTTTATTTATTAACATTTACATTACAATTTTTTGTAATAACTTTCCCTATACTTCTCCTGACATCATTATCCTTTAGTTATTAATTTTGCGTCTTACAAAGAAAACGAGCCCTTAAATTTACTTTTTTTCTTTATGTTATGTGGAGGCATTTGAAATGCATGATACAATCTTTTATGTATTTATTTTTATCATTAGTAAATGTGGAGCATTACCTCTTGCATAAGTGTAAATTTTTCTAGAAGTCCAGTGCTGATAAAATTACAAGTTTGACATTGGATATCCCTTGCATCTGGGTTTAGGTTACAGCGGAGACTCTCATTAAACGTACCCTAATGGTGCATTCAGACGACGGACCGAATCCGGATGTGGTGGGATGGAGGGCGTGTCACATGACCTCACATCAGCGATTCCCCTCGTCTGCGCGGCTCGCAGACGGATGACCCCAACCTGTTTCTCACATCGAGATTCTGGTGGGAGAAAGCCGATGCTTCAGCGGATTAGCTCGGGGTTTCTGGCAACCAGTACACTTTTTGTCTGCTCGCGGCATGTCCTTCATGGCTCTCGGACAGCTGCATGACTGGCTGGCATCATCTACGCTTGAGCATGGTTTACTTAGTTTCCGGGGGCTTTGTTCTCAGGCGATTAAATACGCAGAAATCACTTTCGGTGGTTCGGGAAATGTCGGCGCCGTCGTTTGACACGCGAGATTCTTAGCCATCATGGTCGTGAAATGTTCTAACTTCTGCAACCGGCGATGTGCCGCTTCTAAAAAAGGATGGGAGACGCGTTCAGAAGTTCTACAAGTGGGGAACAATGTTGCTGAAAGAAAATTCTGCCAACAACTCCCTTTTCTGCTGAAAGAATAACACTCCTCGTTCATTTGTCACAGCGCGTCAGACATTGCAGCCAAGCGGCGCTTCTTCTGGGCATCCATGTTGAATACTCTCAAACCGGTCTGCTGCTAGCGGGCGCATGTGAGCGCCGAATCTGCTGTCGAGGGTAATCCGGCTGTTTTCTCCTAGGATAACGTTCGTCATGTGGATGCGCCTGCAGACGGATCATCCGCGAATTAGCCCTCCGTGCCCACGACAAATCTGGATTCGGTCCCTTGTCTGAATGCACCATAAAGGGACTAGGAAAATATTGTTACGATGAGATGCCTTCATTTACAGGAGATGATGAAAGCGAGAGTCTAGGGACCTGGCCATATGGGTTTTTCTAGGACATTTTATTGCATGCAAGAACACTTCTTCTGGCCAAAGATGCATAAAAGTTTAACTGCATACATTGCGAGCCGTGAGCAATGTCAAGGCTACAAGCCTCCTACAATCCTGTCAGTTGGACTACTTCAACCCATAGCACCCCCAGGTTCATCATTTGATATCGTCGGTGTTGGCCTGCTCGGCCCTTTTCTGCAGTTAACGAACGGCAACCGATGGATTATTGTGGCCGTTGACCACCTCACATGCTACAACGAAACTATGGCGATTCCTGGGGCAAAGGCCACTCAAGTTTCACACTTCACGCTGTCGCACATTATATTACGCCATGGATCCCCACGTGGCATCATCAGTGATTGCGGGCAGCAATTTCTTGCCGATGTAGTTGAAGACCTGCTTCGTCTTGCTTCATGCTATTTTCATCACACTACCTCGTGTCACCTACAGGCTATGGTTTAACGGAACGAACCAATGGGACTTTAGTCAACATGATTTCTATGTGTGTTGATTGCGGACACAAAACATGGTACACCATGTTGCCATTTACAATTTTCGTCTACAACACTTCACAGCACGAAACGAGATACAGTTCATTTTATCTGCTCTACGTACGCCAACCCCAGACAGCTTTGACACTATTCTTCCATTTTCAGAGACCAATCAACCTAATCTCGCCGAAACCAGTTCCTGCGCAGAAGTGGTCCGGCGCATCGCTTGTCTTTGAACTTTCGTTTCCCTGAAATGCTCTAAGAACCGTTACACGACAAAAGTCACCAGCACGTATTGTTTGAGAAAGGGGACTCGGTGTAGCTCTGGACGCCGCTTCACAAGCGTGGCCTCTGCCAAAAGTTTCCGGTCAACAACACTGGTCCGTTTGTTGCCCTTGTTGTGTCCGCTTGTTGTACGCCTCAGCAATGTCACGTACGTGATAGTTGCCTGTTGTCAACTGGCAGCCCCTGAAATGCTTTCATCAATCAGCCTGTCTAAAATGCTTCCACCATTGCAACGATGACTAACTCGCCCAATAGGCATCGACTGCAAAGGGGGAACTGCTTTGATACGGAGGGTCGTGTGGAAGAAGAGAACGACGAAGTCAGCCTGATGGGGATCATCTGTAAATAAAGGCATCTAATCATAATAATATGGCCTATTTAACAGGTATTTAACAGGAATTTACTAGAGGTGAACAGGGGTACAGAATAAAGTATGAAACCGATCAAGTCAAGCTTATGATTTCAAGTATCTAACCTAGAAAGGAAGTAGTGATAAACTCCCACATTGTAATTGAGTAATTTCTTATTAGTCGTTATGGTAACTTACAGTACAAAAAGGTCCTTTTCAGAATTATGTGGTTCAAAAAAGATTACCCCACAGGCTAAAACAAATTAGATATCAGAATAGCAATTTATTTTATTAGAAGTAGTAATTTTCAAACTTGGAAGATAAAATTAACCTCCAGTAATTAGCTGGTACTTATTGAATAATTACTATTGTGTTAAGGTTGAGAAAGAAAGAAAAGCTTTAGCCTGTAGTTCAAGTGCTGTTGAAAAGAATGATATCAAGTTTAAGTATTCTCACACAAACTTTCTTAGCATGTTATGCTTTTTGTTGGTCTGGTTTTACGTGCGGAGTGACCCACCAGTGAGCCACTGGGTATATCCCCCAGGTGCGTCATGACACACGGGTGGGACACACGCCTATGCTGCTTTCTTTTGCTTCAATGAGAAGGTGCTGCCACCTTTGCAGTGGGCATTTGGCGCATTTGACAGATGTAAAGATGTTTTCTGCATTTTTCACGTGAATCTTTGTTGAAGTACAAAATGCTTCCCACTAGAAAACACATGAAGTCGGTTCCTGTGATAGCAATATTTAGTAGGTGGATAAGAGTTAAAATGTAAAATGAATACTAACCAACGAGGTGGCACTGCGATTTATTTAGCACTTGGAAAAAGTATGAGGCTCCATCAGACATGCTAAAAAGCTTTGGAGCTATAGGGGAAACTCGTACACTTAGTCCAAATGCATGTACCATATTTACATCATTTTAAGTCAACTCACATGTATGTTGACCCCCTGAAATCACACAGCAAATAAGAAAATTATTTTAAGAAAGGCTTTACGAGCGAAACTAGTTTTCAATTTTAGGTTTTAGCAACAAATGCTAAAACCATGCAAAAACAAGCTAAATGGGAATTTTCCAAGGACATGTCTACGGCGAGCGCACAATGTTGCCAGAAATAAGAACATTCAAGGACTCGTGTTTTCTTTATTTTGTTAAACACAGTAATAATGACAGTCGGAATAATATTGCAAGACAAACTAGTTTGTATGAGTGCATCGAAACTTATTTTACGTTGCCAGACAATGATGCCAAAGAACGTATGGGGGATCTTATTAGAAGTAATGTAAAAGTGAAGAAGGAAAAATGGACGAAAAAATGACTTATCGGGGGGGGGGGGGGGGGCAGGAACCAAGCCTACGACCTCCGAATAATGCGTCCGATGCTGTACCACTGAACTAGGGTGGTGGTCATTCCAACGTCCACTTGATAGGGTATATATGTGCATTTCAACGTGTAAGCGTTAGTCAGCGCCCATGCTTTCGTGCCGTTCGTAATCTTAGTGCTGGGCTTGCAGCGTTGACAAAGGAGAGGTAGGTGAAACAGATGGTGATTTTGTGGCAAAGAAAGATGTCCTTAATTACGTTTTTTCTTGTTGTTTTTAGAGTGCACTCTAGGGCAAGCACTCGTCTGCTGACCTGCAGGTCTTTGGAGCAAATCCTGGCACTAGTGGCTGCATTTCCGATGGAGGCAAAAATGCTGTAAGATCGTGTGCTTAGATTTGAATGCATGTTAAAGAACCCCAGGTGGTCAATTTCCATAGCCCTCCACTACGGCATCTCTCATAATTTTATATTGTGGTTTTGGGACGTTGAACTCCACATATCAATCAATCCATCCAAGGTGAGTAGGAGTATTAAGGTTGTTTTTCTGCCACACAGCAGTAATTGTCATCTGGCTTGCTTGGGATTCTATTCTTGAAAACAATGCGCTCTCCACTTTTCTATCCAGAATGCTATGCTGTTCGTGACCATGAAGTGCCAGGCATACGGCGATAATGCAAAGAAACACATGCAAGATATTTGTGGGACAAAATGACACCCTTTACTAGATTTTTGAAGTGTAGGAGAACATAGGGAAAGGATCGAGGTTGCTTGCAGATCATGGGGAGAAAAAAAAAATCACAGCGTATCCATGCAGTGAATGATAATAAGTGGGCCCAAGCGTCCATCTGTCTGTCCGTCCGTCTATCTAGTTAACACTCCAAGTACCGCATTCTCGCATCTTCTCATCATATGTTCATCATTAGAGTTACTGTATATGCTATCTTTAGGTATATGCTACCTAAAGGTAGCATATACGGTAACTCTATTCATCATATACAAGTACTGCCATCCAGCAGACATTCTAAGGACTAAACGAGAGGTGG